GTGGGGGGGGGGAGATTTTAGTTTTAGTAAGGGTTTTTTGGGGGGAACTTGGGACACAATAAGGTCACATAAATGTCAGAGATAAGGTATTACTAGAGAGTACTGTACATAGAAAAGAAGGATTTGTTTTTAGTAAGTGTTTCATGACACTTGTTTTATGTTTTAGTAAGATTTTTACGACACTTGGAACACAATAAGGTGATATAAGTGCCGAAGATCAGAGATGTTACGAGAGAGTATCAAACACAAAAAGGAGGAGGAGAGAGAAGGACGTTACTTTTTGATAGAAGAAAAGAAGGTGCAAACCACACCAGAGTACCTGTTAACCGCCAACATACGAGCACTTGAAACACAATGAGGTCACATTAGTGCCGAAGATAAAAGGTGTTACTAGAGAGTAAGAAAGCCACATACATAGGAAAGCGGGAGGAGACATAAGGACGATTGATGTTTAATAGCAAAATTGGAGCAAACCACACCACAGCACCAGCAACCATCAACGTCGAGTATTGGAAAACGTAGAAAAGTTACTGTGACGAAAATTATATAAGTGTACGTCGCTGAACATAATTATCTTCGAGTGTAGTTTTTGTCATTGGTGGCGGCTAAAGTGGTCTGGAGTGAGAAAAGGGAGTCTTTATCTTCACTGTGTCATGTGTAATGAGCTGAAAACGTTTGCTAAACCATGATAAGATAGTGTATCAGTGAGTGTGTGAATGTGATCGGTTGTGGCAAGGACAAGAGGTGTGCCGGCAATTAACTGAGAGTTGACGGAGGAAGTAAGAGCAAAAACAACAGGCACCTTGTTCATGGTTGCATGTGAAGTTGCTTTGACCTATGTCCACATGTCTATCTGTCCACGTGTCTGTCTGTCTATCCCAGTCTCTCTTTTCTCTCTCTCTCTCTCTCTCTCTCTCCCCTCCCTCCCTCCCTCTAAGTGTACACGAACTTATACCTATCTTTGTTAACACACCTTTTCCTCACACATACAAAACTTACATTTTCTCCGTTCGTGAGCTCGATGGTGTACCTGTAGAGAATTCCGGAGACCACCTGAGGACGACGTGATAGAGAGTTAGTCAGGTAGTTAGGAGAGAGAAATATTTATGACCGACCGGGGGGGTCAAATGAACATACATGAAGTCTAAAGTTGTCTAAATTACAACCTGCTTCTGTGTTTCAGTTTTAGTTCTTATTCTCGTTCTCAAGGGGAAAGACTGCCTAATTTTTCTTCCCCTACCTCCTTCTTGGTTTCCTTCTACACGACTGCCCTTCCTCAGATTCATATTACTTCGCCTTCTCTTCCCTTCCCTTCTTTCCTCCTCCTTCGTCTCCTACTAACTGCATTAGATCATCCTCCTCCCTCTCCTTTTTTCGTTACCTACCCCTTTTTCTGCGTTTCCTCCAACTCTTCTGGCCCCTGACCCTACGTCTCCTGCCCCTCCTCCTACCTCTCTTCCCCGCCCTCCCTCCTCCTAGTCCTCCCTCCTCCTTTCCTCGCAAATTCTTCAGTTTCTTCCTCTTCTTCCCCCTCCATCCTACGAGATGTTATCTCCAAACTAGTCCAGCCCGTTGACATTGGATGTGGTCACAAATCCTATGCATGAACATCTGCATGGTATCAGCCAGCTCTCCAGATGTGCAAAGTCCCAAATTTTGAAATATATGTTACACGTTCTTAACTTGTTGTACCGGTTACATATACCTGAGAAATTTGGCCTAAATTCAAATTATAAACGGTTCTGTTTTTAAAAAGGAAAAAGATTCATATCGCCGGTATACTTTTTGAAAGAGCTGAAACAGTTCTTTTTCCTTTAAAAAACGTGCTTTCCGTAGTTTTAGTAAGAGTTTCACGGCCCTTGCAATACAAATTGGTCATACAAAGTGCCGAAGGTTAGTCATCTAACAAGAGAGCATCAAACAAAGAGCAACAAAAAAGGAGAAAAGACGAGGATGTCAGATCTTTGGTAAGGAAAAAGGAGCGAACCACAGCAGGGCGTCTGCCAACCACCCACGGACAGCTTTAAAGGCTCACCTGTGAAGAGGCGGAGACGAGGCGTACGGCAGTGCGGGAGGTGCTGTCACCGAGACCCTTGTAGTAGCTGTTGATGCCGTCCACGGCGAACTTGACGTTGGGGTCATCCAAGGAGGTCGTGTAGTCGTTGTTGATACCTCCTGCCAACATGGCGCCGGATATGAGCGGCAGGATTATACAGCCGACGAAGATGAGCTGTCGAGGGGAGAAAAATACATAGATAAGATAATAGTATCATGGTAATTGCAGGGTTTGGGAAGAACGGAGATTGTACGTGTGTATTGTGGTGAATTCAAGACAGTCTTCACCTATTTAGAAAATGCATTGGCGCTGAGAAGTCTGGGTTTATATTGACAGATTATGATGAAAAACAATACCATGTCATGACGCTTTCTTTCGAATTTCCTGGGGTGGCATAATAAATATCTGATGACCAAAAGGCTGGTCTTCATCACAAAACATACCCTGAAAACTTCACAATAAATAACCGAAATAATCCTCTTAGATTTAGTCGGGTGCTAAGCACTTGCAGAAATCAGAAAAAAAGGCTTGGCAAATCTTTTTTTTACTGATTAATTGGAAGCCTACTTTACAGCATTATCGACACAGTTTGTCTATATTCGTTGAGAGCTTGGAGGTGCGATTTATGTAAAGAGGAGTTCGTATGCCAAAGACAGAACACTAGAAGCTCACATGCAGAAGTTATTGTGCACACCGTTTCAAACAACATATTGCATATTAAGCCTTACTATCAACATTTAGAAAGTAATAAACTTGCAATAAAAAAATCCCGCAAGGCGTCTTTCTCCTAGATAATATAAGTTAGATATATATTTGTTTACAAAATATTTTTAGGGGGGGGGTATTTTGTTTATATGAGTAAAGAGAAGCACATCGTCACAATAATGGCCAGCTAGTCCTACGAAAAAATAAGACAGACAGAAACTACAGAGGGAAAGTAAACAAGTAAGACACACCAGTGGCGCTTAAACCACCCGCTCTTGATGGTTTGTCGATTTCACAAGCCTCCAACTGCCTAGTACAAAGTCATATATTGTCTAGTGGCATTTACCGCCTTTTTCACACTTCAGTAACAACTAGGAAACGTTTTCCATTTAAGTGAAGTTAACAAACTGGTGATGATACCAAGGACGGCAGGTGGCGCCACATTCAACGGAGGCAAATAATTATTGAGGAGAAACCCAGCATGGAATATAATCACAAATTTAGGAAGACTGTGTGATGAGGAAGGTTGAAATAAACCAGTGGAGTGTACTTGTATACTTTTATTGCTTGTAACTTCATTGCTGTTGTTGACGTTGTTGTCGTTATCGTTATCGTTATCTTTGTCCCTATCGTTGTCGCTATCTTTGTCGCCATCTTTGTTCCTACCGTTGTCGCTATCGTTGTCACTATCTAATATCATTGCCATCGTTGTCGTTGTCATTTTCGTTGTCGTTGTCGTGGTTGTAGTAGTCGGGAAGGCTTGTAATTACTGGCCTCTTATATTGTTTTTAGTTTTGGTTTGCTGTTTACACTTTCCATAGCCATTTCCATCCTTGTTTGGATGAGTATAATAATGTTTACGACACATTTGTCACAGTATGGTCAGAATAGTCGCACTCCTTGCTGTTGCTGCTGCTGCTGCTGCTGCTGCTGCTGCTGTTGTTGTTGTTGTTGTTGTTGTTGTTGTTGCTGCTGTTGTCATGGTTGTAGTCACTGTTGCTACTGTTGTCTATGTAGTTTTTTTCTTTTTCATTTGTCATTGTTGCTGTTATTGTCATTGTCGTCATTTCTACTGCTGTCACTGTTGCTGCTGTTATTATTGTTGTTGCTGTAATTATTATTGTTGCTGCTGTTGTTGTTGTTAATGCTGATAAAGATGCTGCTATTTTCAATTCAGTGACAACTATTTCTGTCCTCGTTTTTTTAAATAGTTGCTTCAGTGATTTGTAATTATAAGCCATGGAGCGACACTTAATATAAATAGAAACTGAAATGTAGAACATTTTGGTTGGAATGCGTCGTTCAGTAATAACTGTATTTATTTGACAATCAAAAAACCTACCGCAAACGTGAGAGAGAGAGAGAGGGGGGGGGGAGATACAGACAGACAGACAGACAGACAGACAGACAGACAGACAGACAGACAGACAGACAGACAGACAGACAGACAGACAGACAGGAGGGGGGTGTCGACATCAATGTTTTATACTCCTCCAACGTCGTTACATTGTCACTAAAATGAAAAAAAGAACAACCAAAAAAATAAACATGCTGAGACAACGATGTCTTCGTCCTTCTACCAAGAACATGGCTTGTCAGTGTGTAAAACCTTTAGTTTCCCCCGTGTAACAGGGAGGTGCCAAAGTCGCAAAAGTGTTACAGCACAGTTGGTTGCTACAACACTTTAAGCCAGTGTAAATGTTCCTGGCAAAACAGCACAGTCAGAGGCACATGGTGGACAGCTGTCACCTCACGATTTGTTATTGACAACATGGCTTATGTGTCATGGTCACAACAGGTTTACGGTCACAGGAGAAGGTAATTTACATCAGCACAAGACAGGAATGTGAAATGTTTTATACGACACAGATCTAGTTTAGTCTCAGTTCCCAGTGACTTCAATCTTAGAGATATAGATTGTGAAACGCGTAGGGCTTGCTGCTGAGCGAGGATATAGTAGATCTAGATATCTAGCGTTTTATAAATCAATGCTATTTGTTATTAAAATTTATTTTTATATTAAATCTCAATCTCTCGTTTCCTGTCCGACTATTCGACCCTGGTATTATTCTGACTTACCTTCATGTTGGCTGTATAGTTGTTGTTTTCTCTTTCTCACAAAGTGTTTGAAGGAAGGAATTAAGTAGTTATGCGATCCTTAGTGCATAAACAAACCACACGCGGGCCTTTTATACACGCTGGAGTGAGTGGGCGCCGTTTCAGGGGATTGTCTCAGGCGGTCTTGACAATTTCGGTCTTCACGGAGATACTTGGCAGATAGGAGACATGGAGGACACGAGTTTGGCACGTCTTTCTTGCTCAAGCTATGAATCTTCTTCACTCATGACCAGTTCTCAATTATTGCCTCAAAGGGAGGCAGTGGTAATTGTTTGTTAAATAATATTGGACAATGATTAAAGACACGTTGAAAAATGCCCCGCTTTTGTTCTTCATATTGTAAACAAAATCGCAACAGTTTTATGTTTGGTCAGAGGTCATCATAGGGCTGTAAGACCAGAAGTCTCACAACCGGTCACGAAATAATCTCCGTATTGTGTTGAAGAGGTTGTCATTTTTTAAAGCATACCTTATATGGTATTGTGTTTTTGTTTTGGATTTATTTTTATCTTTATCGCCACAATAGCTTATCAGCTGTAAGATAGTATAGAGTCTGAGGATTGACCCGACAACCCTTGTGCAAGGTCAACTGCAAAACACTGGGCCATCAACAGATGTGGATATGACAACTTATTAAAGAAATCAGTCCTTTTCACTTTTTTTTAGTTTAGGCCTATTTGTTTTGTTTTTCGGGGTGGAGGGGAGGAGGGGGGGGGGAGTTGTTGAGTTTTGTTTGGCTTTCACTTGTACTTGGATATGTTCCGTTCTGCTTTGTTCAGTTTTAGTTTGGTTTGGTTCGATTGTTGTTTTTTTCGTGTGTGTGTGTGTGTGTGTGTGTGTGTGTGTGTGTGTGTGTGTGTGTGTGTTTTGTGTGTTTTGTTTTGTTTTGTTTTGTTTTTGTATTTTTGTTATTGTTGTTTTGGGTTTTTTTGTCACTGTAGAGAAATCTAGGCATCGTTCTTCCCGCACAAGAAGAAAGGTGCATGGAACTGCTCTTCGCAGCACCAATTTGGTGCAAGCTAAAAATTAATTGATCCAAGTTTCCACAAGCCTATATACTACACTGGTAGAGTCTATGGTAACTCAATGAAGAATGGGTATCAAAACTGTTGTCTCCCTCTATTGAAGCTACGTTTCCCTGATCTTTCCCTGTTACCCATTTGTTCAGGTTCCTTAAGTATGTTGTTCTGGGCCTACCCCTGCCTCGCTTGCCCTCATTTATGCCAGTGAGAGCTAGATGTTCAAGACCCTTATGTCTATTCAGGTGTCCCAAAACTGCATTTGTCGTTTCCTGATTGTTTTTAACATTGAGTGTCCCACGTGGGCTTCATCAAGGACTACCTCATTTGATTTCTTTTCCTTCCACGATACTCTTAGCAGTCTCCTAAGAAACCACATTTCTGTGGCTTCTATTTTATTTTCACTGTCTTTAGTGATTGTCCAGCATTCACAACCATATAGAAGGGTTGATCAAACGTAGCATTTCAGGACTTTCATTTTGGTGTTCATTAAGATGTTTCTATTTTTCAGGATTGGGCTCATTTTATTGAAACTAGCCTTAGCCGTTGCAGTTCTTCTTTTAATTTCTGTGGAACATTTGGTATCAGGTGTTATCATATATCCTAGATGTTTAAGCTGTTGGACTTGTTTGATCTTTTCACCTTTGCTAATGAGATTACAACTAGGATTTGCTGCTTTTTTATATTACCGTGAATTCCGTTTTCTTTACATTCAACAATAATCCTTTACGTTCACTTTCTGTTACAACAGTATCTAGAAGCAATTGAAGGTCCTTTTCGGAGCCTGCTATTAATACTGTGTCATCTGCATACCTGATGTTATTAATAGTTTCTCCACTTACTTTTGAGGCCTGGACATTCTTTTATGTTTCTAAGTATTGTTTCACTGGTCGGATAAATGAATGTACCTTTCCATGACTATTCTTGGAATATTACAGCAGTGGTTTCCCGTTCCCTACATATTATATAAATCTAGTTAAGCTAATTAGTATGGTGGGAGAATCTAGATCTAGAGCCAAACACTGTTTATTTAAGGCGAATGTGTCATTTAGATCTTCAAGTTTGTTGATCTATCTAGATCTAGATTCTATTCTAGATCTAGATTCTATTCCAGATCTAGATTTTACTCTAGATCTTGATCTAGATTCTAGATCTAGATTCTAGATCAAGATTCTAGATCTAGATCTAGTAGTACTTATGACAAAGACTGTCCACTACACTACATGGTTGGTCTACTCTTGTTCAATTAAAAAAATTGCAGTCTGTGCCTATAATATCTAGGCTTAGATTTAGATCTAGATCTTGTAGTAGGCCTAGCACTAGTACTACCAAAATTGTCTACTTCCAAGGTATTGCAATCTTTCTTTGGGCTTTTGTCCCAAGCCATGGTGGGCCTGTTTTGCCGACGACGTCACTAGGAGACGCGAGGCTGGTTTCATCGCCGACGGGTGTGTGTGTGTGTTTCTTTGCAGTCCCCTGTGCACAAAGCAGTGCTATGGGACTGCACAATCCCCCAGCGAGTAGTGGGATTGTAAGTCCCCTGACAACTTCCTTTTGTTTATTGACAGTTTGATAACTTTTTCAAAGGTACACGATACGGGTGATTAGTTGCTGTTCTGGTTTTGTTTGTTCCTATATCTACTCATTTTTCAAATTCCTGGTATAGCTTCCTGAAAATATAATCGTCGTAAACTTTTAATTTGTAATCTAAAATGACTCTGATTTCTCATCCTATTGATATGTATGTCATTTATAATACATGTGTATGCTGTTTTCATAAAAGTTTCTTCGGGGGGGGGGGGGGGGGGGGGGGGGGAAAGTTTTTTTTTTTAAAAAATAAAAATTTGGGCCCCAGGGCTTTCCTTTTTCTTAACCCCTGAAATTGTTTTTCCCCATTTATCTTCTTTAGAAAGAATGGTGAACTTTTTGCGGAAAGAGAAAGTTTTTGGTAGACGAGCTCCAGAGGAGATGGCTCATCCGGTGTTATCTGGAAGGGGTCAAATGTTCTTTTTTTGTGTGTGTTTCATATTTTTGTATTTTTCAACCCAAGAGAACGTACAAATTTGTGGAAACTTACGGTGTAGAAAAGGGCAGAGACTGTCACAGCTGTGGGCGGTTTTCAAGGTTTTCTGTTTTGTTTTGTTTTATTTTTTATAGGAGTTTTGCGGCACTTGTAACACAAATAGGTCATATAACTGCCAAAGGTTAGAGGTGTTACGAGAGAGTAACTCAAAAAAAAAAAAGAAGAAGGGGAGACAAGGAAGATAGATGTTTAATAGTAATAGGAAAGAAGGAGCAACCACACCAGAGAACCCTCCAACCATGCACTTTTTGTTTATTGACAATTTTATAACTTTTTCAAAGGTGCACGATACGGGTGATAAGTGGCTGTTCTGGTTTTGTTTCTTCCTATTTCTACTCATTTTTCAAGTTCCTGGTAGCTTCCTGAAAATATTATTGTCGTAAACTTTTCAATTGTAATTCTAAAATCAGTACCAGTGGCGAAGCGTCTATATAATCAAATAATCACTGCTTCCCTTCCTAGTTTTGAAGCATTGTCGCAGTCAAATTCACCCATATACGTAAACCTCATAAATTAAACGTAAAAAGACGTTCATAATCACCAATAAACAGTATGCCTAACATTCTAAACGGTTTCATTGCCACAGAAATAGCCTGTTCACCCCTTTCGATCCACTCTATAAGTAGTCACAAACTTTGATTAACCCTATCCGTACACCCTGGGGTCATTTTGTACCCACGGGGTTGTATTCTTCACATTTTAGTATACTTCTAGTACGAAGATCTCTTTGAAACTTTCAGTATTTCTCCTGAAGTCATTTCAACAGACTGCTATGCAAAGCGTACGGATCGGATTAACGAGTGTATTTCCTCTTTGTCAAGTGGTAGCACGAAGTTCCCCACGTCGTATGGATACAATAGTAAACCACGACGTACGGATAAGGTTAAATAACTTTATAGTGAGGCTGGAAGAGTCTACCAAAAGAGTTGAAGGGAACATGTATACAGCACTCAAAATTGTTTCATTGCCACACATACCCTGTTCACCCCTTTCGGGTCACAGTCACGAGCAGTCACAAGCACTGATTATGTAAGCGAACTATTACACTGGTCGAATCTACCTCACAAAAGTGAGGGGAACTAACTCCTAATAATATCTTGACTGCCACGAGTGCTTTTTTTTCCTAGACTTTTTACCGTTCTATAATCAGATTGTGACCTCGATTATGACACCGGCTCCAGGCTGCGAAAAGCTAGACAAAAACAGCCAAATGTGAAATAAAAAATTGATAATTGTCATGTTCTACCAAAGAGTTGAAACTCACTGGTAATACATGTAGTACTGACATCTCTGCTTCTTTGCTTTGTGTTTGTGTATTCACATCTAAAATAAAATTTAATTTTAGTTGGAATTAATATTCAATGAGGTACTTTCCCGATTATTTTGGCGGTTGAAGATAAAATAATATGAATTCAGAATTTGTTTTCATTCACAACTCAATGTCGCTGCTTCGACCGGAGACGACTAGTGAGAGATATTAAATAACATGATTCGAAGAGGGGCCAGCTGACGAGTGAAATTTTCACTCGTCAGCTGGCCCCTCTTCGAATCATGTTATACGCGAGATCGGTGGCACAATGCCCCGAAACTGTGTCACGCCGTACATTTCATGGTCTGTTCCTCTCAAAGTCACTTCCAACTTATTATTTCCTATAGTTAATACCGGGGACAGAAGGAGGAGCGAGGAGTCATCTCAGTTAATACATCGGAAGTAGTGGTATGTGGTGAAGTTGATCAATAAATAGGTGCATATTCAATAAATTCATCAAATTTATGCTCCAAGGAAGGAAGGAAGGAAGGAAGGAAGGAAGGAAGGAAGAAAGAAGAAGAAGAAGAAGAAGAAGAAGAAGAAGAAGAAGAAGAAGAAGAAGAACAAGAAGAACAAGAAGAACAAGAACAAGAAGAACAAGAGGAACAAGAACAAGAACAGAACAAAAAATAAGAACAAGAACAAGAACAAAAACAAGAACAAGAACAAGAAGAAAATGACGAAGAAAAAGGAGTAGAAATAGAAGAATAGAAAAGATTTGGCGTATTGTGCGCACTAATGCAATGAGATGCGGCCCAGAATAAGGAAAGGGGGCGTGAGCAAGACGGGCCAATAATTATACTGACCGAGAGGAAACGTGCAGTACGGTATGTTTTGAATTTTTAAATCAAAATCTTGACTAGAATTACTAGAATGTTCTGACTCCATCTTTCATGTGTGGATGTGGGTATGACGTTACGGTAAAGGAAGAGAAATGGTGTTAAAAACCCATTCAGACAAATCCCCTTGCTTGATTTACTATGAAAACGATAAGAAGATTCATCGGTTGTGAGGAACAGACTGTTAGTTGTACGGCCTGAAACTTTCACTGGATGCCTGATCCCAATCTCGCCTGAATCGGGGAGTGATGCGTCTTTACTTTTTTGTGTCCGCCTCGAGTAAGATTCTTATGTGATATCTCCAGGCCCTGTCAGGTCCCATCTCACTTTTATTACCCTGTCAAACAAGTCAGCCTTCGCCCCTGAAAATCACTCCCATTTCTCATGTTACCGATATGTGTCATTTATCTATGCTATTTTCATGGAAGTCTCTTCTGAAAAAAAAATGTGTATGTTACCTTAAAAATCACGAAGAATGAAATTATAGTCCGGCTTTTACGTAACTTGGACTTTCTGGTAACGTACGTCAGCTGAAAGTGGACAGACTATCACTACTGTGGGCGGTTTTTATTTTGTTTTTTGTTTTTCAACGTTTTTTAACCCAAGAGAACATACAGGTTTGTGCACTACTAATGGTGGTACAGCACAATACTAACATGAAGTAAGAGATAAGATTTCCGTGTTTCGTCACGATTTTCATTGTATACTATCAAAGAAGAAAAAGATACAACGAAAGTTGTAGGCGGTGTAAGCATCCTGCATGTAATAGGACAAAACCACCTTTTTCTTGTTGTTGTTTTTGTTGTAGTTGTTGTTGTTGCTGCTGCTGAAATATATTATAATATTATTGTTGTTGTTGTTGTTGTTGTTGTTGTTGTTGCTGTTGTTGTTGCTGTTTTTGTTGTTGTTGTTGTTGCTGCTGCTGCTGCTTTTGTTGAATTCTAAAAGATCGGATAAATTGCCTAGATATGTAGTTCCCCCATAGAATCTACTTGCTGGGCGATTTTCATTATTTTATTTGCAGTGGGCTGTGCAAGTTGACAAGATTGCCTGATCGCAATGTCATAACAAAACACTGGTCGTCATAGTTCAGCCAGCTGGACATCCTTTAACAAATATTAAAAATTTTCCTCCGACGGCAGTGGCAAGTATAATGGAACATCCCTTCCCCTCCCATAATCGGAAGTGATTTCCCCTCGTTTTGACACACTTTTTACAATGTATGAGGTTGGTGCTTCAGCCTTGCATGTCGGGGCCAACGCAATATTATAGGTAACTGTGCACAAACATAGTCGACAAAACAATTTGTCCAACCAGGAATCGAACTCGCGGATAGGTCATAGTGTGTGTGTGTGTGTGTGTGTATGTGTGTGTGTGTGTGTTTGTGTGTGTGTGTGTGTGTGTGTGCGTGTGTGTGTGTGTGTGTGTTTCACAATAGCGAAGCGCCTAAACATTACACCACAGGCCACAGACACCGGCTCAAAAATGTCTCAGTGGCGGTAGGAAGATACATTGAGGCCAAAACTGGAGTCATCAGGGGAAAGACAAGCGACTCTGGCCCTGAGAAATAGGACAGGTCTCAGAGTTCACCTGATCTAAGCACTCGGTATAGAGTTTCGTTTTCCTACCTGTACTATTTTGATAAGAATTTAGCTTTCCTATCTGTACTGTTTTGATAAGAATTTAGCTTTCCTACCTGTACTATTTTGATAAGAATTTAGCTTTCCTATCTGTACTGTTTTGATAAGAGATTCGTTTGTTTGTTTTTTCCTAACAGCGCCGTTAGGATAAGAGTTTCTTTTTTATTCTTACTATAATGTTTTGACTGTAAAAAATTGTTTTGTTAACAGCATACAAGAACTCTCACGGATAACTGTCGTTTTGATAGTTTTAAAAAAGTAAACACTGTAAAGATATTTTGGAAGTGGGGCCTTTAAATTTAACGTCTTTCTCCGATAGGACCGAGCCAATCGGGTTGAGAGCCTTTAAACCTCCACAAAACGACTCGAGTTCAAGAACGCTCAGTTCGGGGTTTGAATCAGGATCATCCGCAGCATAGTCCAGCATGATACCGATTTAGCTATTGAAGCGGTCGTCTTGTAAATAGAGTTTTAGTTTCGGCAAGATCATCTAAGAACTGCTAAAGGTTAATTTTTATTTTCTATAAGAAATTCGTGTCAGTCAGAGTATCTAAGAACTCACAGTTAGGAAAAGCAGCACAGAAAAGAAGGCTAACAAGCAGACCACATGAGAGTTCCCACCTGTCAAATGCATGATTGTTCTTTTAATGTTTGTGATTATACGCCTTCATCGACACAATTTAGGTGAACTCAAGCTGGGAGGGTAACAACATCTCAGTTGAAAGAAAAGAAATTCTCCCCCCTTGGGAACTTAACTCGGGTCTCATGCGTACGACGGCAAAGGCCCTGACCACTACACCACAGACGCCGGTCGTCAGGTTCAGAGACGACCTAACCTGCACAATCTTTGCAGTCATTCGAACCACCTTGAGTCCCCAATCCCAAACATGGTACCCCGCACATAATACGTGATGTTGTGACAATTACGTTTGCCTTGCTGTAGCTGTGCATTTAAATGTTTCGCGAAAAGATTGATAATTAAATACCGTCTTTTCATTGGCAAAAACTGTAGAACTTTAAACGCACTTTTTTTTAAATACTGTTTTGACCTATGGCGTTTAATAACAAAAATGTAAAAGCCGTCAAAGTTTAAAAAGATCATTTTTTACACAAAATACGTAAAATATCGCTTTTAAAAAAGTAAGTAATAAAAAGGTACGTTTAAGTAATCAATTTGAAATTATTTTTTATGAATTCTTCCGCAAAACTCAGAAAGCATGTGACCCCCCACGCCGGGAGCCCTCGGTACAACACTACAGTATAGAGTCGACTTGCTCGCCGCGGGGGGGGGGGGCTGGTGGGGCGCTCCGTGTTTTTGTCGAAATAACTACAGATAATCATGTTTGCGGCGATAAAATACTGATTTGTAATGATCTTAGAGTCTTTAAAAAATTAGGCTCCATATCTATGTTATAGTCATTATACTCAGTTAACGTGGAGATGTTTGGTGCACTTGGTACTCTTTTATTATCTGTCAAACATGGGGCTGCAGCCAGTGAGCAACTTTGACAAATTTGACCCATTTTAAACATTTTCTTAAAAATCAACTGAAAAGTTAAAGAATGGTACCAAAATTCTTCAGGAGATATAGATCTAGGCCTTTTATATGGAACAGATAAATTTGGCATGTAGCTACTTTGAAAATTTAGCTTTGGTACCTATTACTAGGTGGCGTGCTACAACACCGCCGGTGTGTGTGTATAAGGGTGTGGGGGGGGGGCGGCAACCCGTGCTGAATAGGATAAAATTGCAAAGCAAACAGACGGAGATACTCGACAAACATTTTCCCACTCGGGAATCGAACTCACGTCTTTTGTGTGCAAAGGCAAAAGGCGTTTCCAAAACACCACAGACGCCGCTCTAAAAACACGACCTGGCTCAATGCAAAATATAGTGGTGATACAAGGGAACAGTAAAAGGGGAAGACCAAAAAGATGGGGCATCGAAGCAGGTATCACGACAGCAGAATGAGCGGTACGCCTAGAGTCGGAACGTCGTAAGAACATCAGGAGTGCGACACTTCACAGACGAATGAAAGAATGATCTGATGGATGATGAGTTAATGGACCTGCGGGGTCCTCGTTCAAACATTCTCGAAATAAATTAAAACATAGTGAATTTATAGCTGTGGTCAGTGACAAAGTTTATTAGCATTTTGTTTAAAAAAAGAAAAAAAAACATTTTTTTCATGCTGAAGTTATCACAAAGTGTTCATGATATCAAAAGACGAGAGATAACAATGTTAGGCAAAGCCAATGGCTTGTTAACAAAACGTTCGCAGATATTTCCTTCTGTGGATACAATCAGCCAACTTTTACCACCTCAGTCTGGCATCTGAAAGAGTAGTACTTTCGCTTCTGGCCACCGAGTCGCTCTTTTTACTGTGGGAAAGAAAAATGAGGACGGGGGGAGGGGGGGGAGGGGGGTGGAGTACGATGAAAACACACAGTCAACTCCAGATGTGAGTGCATATTATACCCTTAAACGTCTTTCGGAATTCTTGTTGGTATCTTGGTATCTATTTCCCCAACAGGGTGAGAGAGAGAGAGAGAGAGAGAGAGAGAGAGAGAGAGAGAGAGAGAGAGAGAGAAAGAAAGAGAGAGAGGGGGGAGGGAGGGGGAGGGAGGGAGAGGGAGGGGGAGGGAGAGGGAGGGAAGGATGGAAGGAGAGAGACAGAGAGAGAGAGAGAGAGAGAGGGGGGGGAGAGAGAAAGAGAGAGAGAAAGAAGTACAGTACACGTATTATTCAAAGGCGCCATTGGTCATTTAACACCCATATCTACAAATGACAGAACGCTCACGAAGCTGGTTTAAGAAAGCACCGTAATTCTCCAGCTTTATGACGCTGTGAGCTTTACAGATTCCGGGCCAAGTAGCACATTTTAGAACTCTTGAACAATTTCGTTTGACAAATTTTAAAGTCTCTGCACCGACGTTTGTGGTGCAGCGGTTAGGCCCTTCTCCACCACACGCAGAAGACCCGAGTTTGATTCCCGTATGGGAAGGATTTTCATTGAGTAGCTCTCGGTCTTTCTGCTCTTCTGAGACATTGTGTTCCCTTCAGCTCTTGTTGGCCATGGCGGGAAGGGTCTAAGCCGCCTAACTGATCTTGATTGTGTTGATAAGGGCATGTTTTAAGAAAATGTATCTGCAGTTATTCTGTTGAGGTACAGTCTCGGGGTGAAAGCTGAATTCCCGCGATAATTAATGGAACAATAAAATTTAAAAAACACAGAAAGAAAGAGTGAATGGAAGAGGGGGAGAGGAGAGGAGAAAGAAAGAGAGGGAGGGGGGAAGAAAGAGAGTGAGTGAAAGAGAGTGAATGAAAGAGGGAGAGAGAAGGGAGAGAGAGAGAGGGGAGAGAGAGAGAGAGAGAGAGAGAGAGAGAGAGAGAGAGAGAGAGAGAGAGAGAGAGAGAGAGAGAGAGAGAGGCTGCATTTTAAGGGCAGAAAATAACGTGACTGACCTTGCAGCTCATCTCTGAGAGTATGTACTCCGGGGCCATCCAGGAGAGAGAGGGCGAGAGAGAGAGAGAGAGAGAGAGAGAGAGAGAGAGAGAGAGAGAGAGAGTGGGGGAGAGAGATGGACAAAGGCTGCATTTTAAGGGCAGACAAGAACAAACTAGTACTTGAGGGTCATCCAGGAGAGAGAGCGAGCGAGAGAGAGAGAGAGAGAGAGAGAGAGAGAGAGAGAGAGAGAGAGAGAGAACGAGAGAGACAGACAGACAGACAGACAGACAGACAGACAGACAGACAGACAGACAGACAGACAGACAGACAGACAGACAGACAGACAGACAGAGAGAGGAAGAGAAAACAGACAAAAAATGAACAAAAGGTGCATTTTAAGAGAAGACAAGAACGTGACTGACCTTGCAGCTCATCTTTGAGAGCTTGTACTCGGGGGTCATCCAGGACTGCCACCAGACATCAAAGTCACACACACGCACCTGGAAGTGGGACATTTCGTTTGAGTAAATAGATAGGCTTATACAGTTTAAGGAATAATAACTTTCAATTTATTGATCCTTGTGAGGAAATTTGGTTCACAGTGCTGTAACATAAAATCATGCTTAAATAATATAATACAGGGTGATCCCAAAAAAGAAAAAAAAACTGTACAACTTTTTAAAAAAATATATTTTCCTCCACATTGACGTTTTGCGTTTCAAATTTGTACCCAACATTTGGGAGTCAAAAGGAATTTGCCTGATATACATTTTAGATAAATCCACAGAATTGTTTTGCTCTACATAGCTTGTAAAAAAACAACCCATTCTCGGCTATGTCCCCATTTTTGTAGCATGACGCACTAGTTCGCATTAGATCTATCCCCAAAAGTCCTGACGATTGAACCATATTGCAAACTACAGTAGTTTAACAGGCCAATAGAAGTTTGCTGATAGTTTTTTCTCAAATTCCATTTCCCTGTTGAGATCGCGGTTAAGATTAGTAAAGCTCTCTCTTACCACCAACTCATTTCGTACGTTTCGCACAAAGTACGGATATAATCAGGCGCGGTTCGTTCACTGGGCAAGACCGGCGGCGCCGGTCAGTTTTTGTCGGCTGTACAGTGGACAAGAGATTGATTGCTGACGATAATTGTTATTTAGTTTCAAGTATGTAAATACACATTAATATCTAATCAACGTTCAGAAAACACTCGGCCGATTTGAAGGCGCTCTGAGAAACATTAGTGGTTCTTTGGTGTGTTGTCGCACTACAAAGACCGTTTCCTTCATCTTTTGTTTATCACGCCGGCTCGTGTGTTAAATAGCCCATCCACGGCTTACTAAATAATTTTAGCAAGCCCTGCGCCCATCACAATGTGAAACTTATCTGCGCGAGGCCGCGAGGCCGCGAGGCGCAAGACCTTTCCGAACAGCGCCCGCGCGGCGGAGACGTCAGCCTCGGGGCGAATTCACTTTTGCCCACAGAACTCAAAGAGACGGCTTCAAATTGCCAATTGGCCTCTCTGTTACTTACAAAGGAAGGACACGCCTGCAGTACAAATACATATTATATTACATAATTTATTCAGTTACATTCATCATTCAACCTGTCTCTTATTACTGCTTGTACATCAAGTGTTAGCATGATTATTTCTATTGCATTTTAAGCCACCCATGGTTCTGTTTTGTGTTCTCTTCCTCACCTACTTCCCCAAGTTCCCTTACTTATAAGTTACTTGGCCAGGACCCTGGGCCGGCGATCCTTCGTTTCGGCCATTCATGTTATAGAGGGAATTTTAACGAGGAGAGAGCAGCGCCCCACGTTCGGCTGTCAGGGTCTGGGCCTAAAACAATACACCTTCCTCCTCCCCCGTCCTTTTTCCCTTTCCCCTTTTTCCCCTTTCCCCCTTTCCACCTTCACCCCAGCTAGACTCTAATTTCTAAAATTAGCATTTGACACATTTCTCTTAGAGCAGTGAACTGAGAGCAGAGAAGAGAAAAGAAGAGAAGAACTTTTGAATCGGTCCGGAAATTATAGGTTAAATTTGTTCAATGTGTACGTGATTGTGAGTCTAGTACAGTGTACAGTATCTGATTCTAGACTTCATCTACGTGGGACAGCGTCATTGGAAAGGTATTGACAGCACACAGGTTTTATATTTTTACATAGCGAGTGCACGTCGAGACTTTGCGTGAGTGTGTGTGAAAAGTAGGTCTTTGGGTGATGTACAGGGGGCAGGGCTAAAAAGTGGTTGCTTCTAACTTTCAGTTTGTTTTCTAGTATACCGTAGAAGTACATTGTATTTCTTGTTCTGTGTCGATCAAGTCAGATCTTTCCGTATTTTATTGGTCTCAAGTTCAGTCTATGTCTTGAAGCTCAGATTTACATTTTGAAGTTTGTAACGCCATGGATTTTCTTCTACTACGAGTCGTAAACCCTTTTTATATACTACCCCCCCCCCTCTCTCTCTCTCTCTCTCTTTCTCTTTCTCTCTCTCTCTCTCTCTCACTCTCTCTCTCTCTCTCTCTCTCTCTCTCTCTCTCTCTCTCTCTCTCTCTCTCTCTCTCACCTACCCATCCAACCCCCCCCCCCACACACACACGCACGAAATACCTTAAGTTTACTGGTAATTATAAAATTGACCGTCTGTCTGTCTGTCCGTCCGCCTGTCTGTCTGTCTGTCTGTCTGTCTGTCTGTCTGTCTGTCTGTCTGTCTGTCTGTCTGTCTGTCTGTCTGTCTGTCTGTCCGTCCGTCTGTCTGTATGTCGGCCTGTCTGTGTGTTGTAGGGGTGAAGTTCTGAGGCGATTGGGGGGGGGGGAGAGAAGGGGAGGTATCGATGGGAATTACAGCCGGTCAGTTCTACAAACCACCAGCCGCCCCTGGATATCATGTTAAAGTTAAAGTGCTCTTAAGGCCTTCTTTGATGTCAAGGGTGGAAATGGTCCACCAGTTAGGACCTGTAGAGAATCAGAACTAAAATTTCCCAGACAAATAGACCACATCAGGTCAAAGACACACCGTTCACACCCCTTTAAACGTCACCAGGATACAGAATTCAGCAGATGAGCCCCAAAAGACGTCTGTCCCAAGATGATGTCTGCAGGAATGACTTTCCTACTTCTCAACGGTCCGCATTCTCAAGGCAGATCTTCACCTACGACTGCATTTTCCCTCAAAGCATAACACTGAGTTCATGATCCCTTAATCGTCTTGAAACATTACCTCTATGACATTTGGTTCCTTGGCAAAGCCCATACTCACCTTTCAGGTTATATCAGCTACACAAATGATGTCTATTCGGGCAACCTCACCCCCCTCCCCCGCTTATTGTCTCTAGAAACAGCTCCATACTGTAAGGTATGCAGTGTGTATGGCTTTGAGTACTCATGGTTGAGTGGATCCTTGCGTTTGGCCACCACTGAACATAACGAACGACGCTTTAAAATGTGTAGAGTGCAAAGGAGGATATATGAAAAAATATTTTTTTAAACTCTGTAGGAGAAAAGAAATATTGTTTAAAAGTCACGGGGATGGAAATATTAGATTTTAAAAATAAAAGGAAATGAAAAAACAAACCAGTCATTTCATGACTACCTTTACAAGATCATTTAAATTGGTGCCTTTTGCATTTTAAGTCTTTTTTATAAAAGCCTTTTTCATTTTTTAAAATAAGTTTCTTTTTTGTAAAATTTATGTCAAGCAAATTCCTTTTGAATGAATTATATCTGTTGCAAATTACAACATTCCAGTACAAATTGTGTGCGAGATATTTAGGAAAAAAAGTTGTACAGGTTTTCTTGGGGGATCACCCTGTACATTGATACTTACATCACAGGTATACTATCGAACACGCCATTGCTGGTTACTGTGTGGACTGTCTCTGATGGATAGAGTTAAAGCAGCCTACTTCCTAAAGTACCTTAACTTCACTGTTGATGTGCGCAAAAACATGTGCGATCTATTCTACGGGCTAGATGTTTTATCTCTGACGTCATTTCGGTTCCCACGTAAGCCATTGTCTGCAGGTGTTATCGATAGGAGAATTGAGAGCTGAAAATGTACCCACCACATTAATTTGTGACGGAAAGCTGCGTAACTGTATGAAAATTAACTTCTTAATTTTGATTCCTGGAGTAAATCTTTGCTTTTCTTCAGTTAATTCGTTGACAAAACTATCAGAAGTGGGGGAAAAACGCCTATGCAATCATTTTTTAGTGAGGCAACGGAAAGCTGCCGGTGAAGAAATGTGCGTGGTACTCACATTGCCTGGTGAGCTCACGTTGCAAGTGTCCAGGGACTGGTTGCTTCCCTTGGGGCAGTCTGTGGCCGCCATTTGTACGCCCCGGAAGTGATACATGAAACCAGACACAACCTGCCAAAAAGATGGGGTGGGTTAGGGAGGGATGGGACAGAGAAGAAGGGCAAAGGGGGGGGGGGGCAGAACAAGATGTACATTGATGAGCACATGAAAGGTTTCTGTCACAATTCCCAGCAGCGAAAAATCCTATAAGTATGGCGGAAAATGCAGCGCATAGACTAATAGACAAAACTACAGGGTTTGTTAAATGTCGTGCACATATCGACATAGCTGTGGGGAAAAAGTGATCTAGATTTTTATAGGCAAAAAGAATGACAATGAATCGAACAGTCAATTGACTATACATATATAGTAATCGTTTGAGTGCTGATGATTGGGGTATAAAATTTGCTAGCGTTTTTAGGCTTTGCATTTGGTTAAGAATGGAAAAAGAAGAAAAAAGATGAACATTAAGGAAATAAGACGGATACGATACTCCATATCAATCGTACGAGTAAATCTGAGGATGTGTGTTCCTGTTTTATTCCATGATTAAAGGGGACTGAAAACTGTGCTGGTGAGTAAAAACTCTTCAAAGACTTAAAATGCTTGGATCACTTTTATAAAATTAACAATCATTTGGATTCCACAGATATTCTCATAGGAAATTAGGTTTAAAATGTACTATTACAATAGCGATGTTTTGGCGGTACTGGTGCATGGTTCAGAGATATGGAAAACAAACAAAGAAATTCAACGAAATTTTAAAGCTTTCAAACAAAATGTCTAAGAAGAATTTTATCAATAAAACTGATTGCGTTTATAACAAGTAATGACGTGTTGGAAAGGGGTGAGATTGAAGATACCAACGCTGCCATAAGAAGAAGGAACAGATAATTGGGACATATTTTGAGATTGTCAAAGACAAGATTGCCCTTTCAGACAAGATACTGGAGACCAAATGGACAAGTAAGAGGTAGGCCAACTCCAAGTTACAGAAGCACGATCAGGAAAAGGAAAGCACTCTGTCCTTGGATGTGCCAAGATTAGAGGAAGTGGCCAGGGACAGACTAGCGTGTACTCGACTACTTCCTCCCTCGTGTACCTGCTAGTACAGGGAGAGAGTAAATAAACTTGGAAATGCATGTAGGTAGGAGGGTGGCACGAAAAAAATGTAGCCTTTAAAAGTTGTTTTTTAATGGCGGTGGCTAAAAAGAAAATAAAGGTTGACAAACATTGATATTATTATATTTCAGTGCCTGTCAACAAATATGTTGACCAAAAACATGTTTCACCAATGTTCACTTCTACTGATGCATCTACATGTATTCCCTTTTTCATCTCACTCGATCCACTCACCTGGGAAGTAACTTTGTCCATAGTCTGAGCTTTCCGGAGGTACAGATAATTCTCCTGGGCGTTCATTTGATCCACAGCAAAGGACAGGGCATTTTGGATCTCAGTGCTCTGGGGGTCTGCCAGCTGTTCCCCGCCCAGAATCAGCTTGGAGGTATCTGAAAATAACAACAACACATACATTAGATTTGACACGGTAAGCAGAATATTCACAAGAGTTGGCACTACAGGCACAGGCCAAGTTAAGATTTAAATTGATGAAGTAGCCTATGTATTATTTTTATATGTATAGGATTTGACACAGTTAGCAAGTCTTGACTCGGTCAATCTAGAATATATTGTATAATAACATATGCATGCATAGGATTTGACACAGTAAGCAAAATCTATATTCAGGGGCGAAGGCTGACTTGTTTGACAGGGTAATCAAAGTGAGATGGGACCAGAATCAGATAGGGCCTGGAGATATCACACAAGAATCCTACTCGAGGCGGCAACACTGAGTTGTGGATGAAAGCAAAACCTGAATTCATGTTGCATGCATGTTCAACCGCTAAAATAATCAGGAAAGAATCTCATTAAATATTTATTCCAACAAACATTAAATTTATCTTTAGATGTGAAAACACAAACACAAACAAAGAAGCAGAGATGTCAGTACTACAGTACGTAATACCAGTGAGACTAAACTCTTTGGTAGAACAAGACAATTATTAATTTTTCATCTCACGTTTGGCTGTTTTTGTCTAACGTTTCACAGCCACGAGCCGGTGTCATAATCGAGGTCACGATCTGATTATAGGACGGTAAAAAGTCGAGGAAAAAAAACAAGCACTCGCAGCAGTCAAGATATCATTAGCAGTTAGTTCCCATCATATCTGTGAGGTAGACTCAACCAGTGTAATAGTTCGGTTACATAATCAGAGCTTGTGACTGCTTATAACTGTGGCCCGAAGGGGGTGAACAGGGTATGTGTGGCAATGAAACCGTTTTGACTGTTGCACACATGTACCCTTCAACTCTTTGGGTGGACTCTTCCAGCCTCACTGTAAGCTTACTTAATCAAAGCTTGCGACTGCATATAGAGTGGCACGATAGGGGGGAACTGCCTATTTCTGTGGCAATGAAACCGTTTTGAATGTTGGGCATACTGTTCATTGGTGATTATGAGCGTCTTTCTACATTTAATTTATGAGGTTTATGTCTATGGGCAATTTTTCAAAACTAGGAAGGGAAGCAGTGATTATTTGATTATATAGACGATTCGCCACTGTCTAGATTTAGATTGATCAAGAATTTTGTTTTGTATACAGGGTATGGCAGTTTGCTAAGTCTAGATTTAGAAGGAACAATGTATAATCTATTTTAGAATATCAATTCTTTACCAAATACCACTTTGAAAGGAAGAATATGAAAAGCACACGAGAGTACCTACCATATACCTCCGCTAACACTAAAGGACGCATCGATATCGAACCATCTACCACGACCGCATTCACATAAAAGTTGGGGGGGGGGGGGTGTCACGACTTCGGAACGAATGCTAGTTTGCATGGTGTCCCATTAGCTCACCCAGTATTAGAATGAGCTGGCTGTGGTAGCCTACTAGTGCTCTGGCTTAAAAGC